TTCGATGACATCTTAGTCTCAGCTACTAGCCGACCTCAACTCATTCAGAGGGTCAGGACAGTGCTAGAGAAGTTTAGGCAGCATGGCCTCAAACTTAAAAGGGAGAAGTGCGCCATCGCCACTAGGCAGGTGGACTTTCTGGGTTATAGGATAGACGCCTCTGGCATCCACCCAATTGAGTCCAAGGTGAAGGCCATCCACGAGGCACCCACACCAACCAACAAGACTGAACTACAAGCCTTTCTGGGGCTTCTAAACTTTTACGCCTCATTCCTCCCGCACAAAGCATCAGTCGCTGAACCCCTACATAGACTCTTAGATAAAGACTCACCCTGGCATTGGGGACCCAAAGAAGCCCACGCTTTCAAATCAGTCAAATCATTACTCACATCGGAAGCGGTTTTAGTCCAGTTCGATCAACGCCTTCCTCTGGTCCTGGCTGCTGACGCATCCCCTTTTGGGATTGGGGCTGTCCTAAGCCACAGACTCCCCAACAGCTCCGAGGCACCAATTGCCTTCTTTTCTAGGACCTTCTCCACGGCAGAAAGGAACTACAGCCAAATCGATAAAGAGGCCCTGGCTGCGGTTGCTGCAGTTAAAAAGTTCCACGAATTCTTATTTGGCCACCATTTTGAACTTGTGACTGACCACAAACCTCTCCTAGGACTTTTATCTGGAGATAAGCAAACCCCGCAGGTACTTTCACCCAGAATGACCAGATGGACTTTGTTTCTGGCTGCCTACTCATTCAAGTTGGTGCATCGTCCTGGCAAGAACTTGAGTCATGCCGATGCCCTCAGTCGCTGCCCCCTGCCAGTCCCAGTCAAGGACCCTGCACCAATTCACGCCATTTTTGAGGTCAACGAACTCAAACTTCCAGTGACAGCCGAAGACATCGCGGCACACTCAAAAAAAGACAAAATAATCGCCCAGGTTCTGGACTGGGTGGGAAGGGGGTGGCCGGAAACTCAATGTACAGTTGACTTTGTTCCCTTTAAAACCCGCCAGCAGGAACTGTCGAGGCTACAGGGATGTCTATTGTGGGGCACAAGAGTAGTCATCCCAGCCACCCTTGGAGTACCCATCCTGAAGGTGCTTCAGGAGGGCCATCCGAGCATCGTAAGGATGAAGGCGTTGGCCCGCAGCTACGTTTGGTGGCCCGGCATGGATGCTCAAATCGCCAACTGGGTAAGCTCTTGCCAACCTTGCCAAGAAACCAGGGCTGCCCCGCCCGCCGCCACGCCCACCAAGTGGGAAAGTGCTAGTGCCCCGTGGTCTTGCCAGCACATCGACCTGGCTGGACCAGTGCATGGCAAGACTTTCTTGGTGGTCGTGGATTCCTACTCCAAGTGGATTGACGTGGCCTTGCTTCCCACAACCACCACCCAAGCAGTAGTCAAAGCCCTGACCCATTTGTTTGTCACCCATGGACTTCCAGACACGCTGGTGTCTGACAATGGTCCGCAGTTCACATCATGTGAGTTCAGTATGTACGTGGCTAATTTGGGCATCAGACATGTCCTTACAGCTCCCTCACCCCACTAGCAACGGGATGGCAGAGAGAGCAGTAAGGTCAGCCAAAGAGGCACTCGCCAGGTTTGGCCAGGAAGACTGGCACTCTAAACTGTCTCGTTTCCTGCTTAGCCAACATACGACGCCTTGCACCACTACTAACAAATCTCCCGCCGAACTTTTAATGGGGAGATGCCTTAGAACCACCCTAGACAGGCTACACCCCCACTACTGCCCAGACACCCCTTTAGGGTCTGACAGTCTGGTCAGAGACTTTGCCTTGCAAGACCTGGTGTTCGCCAGGAACTATGCAGGGGATCCTTTGTGGGTACCAGGTCAAATCGTGTCAGTCACAGGTCCAAGATCCTACAGGGTCCTCCTGGAAGATGGACGCTTGTGGCGAAGGCACGTGGACCAACTCAGAAGGCGACGTGCGGCTGATACCAACCCAACCCGACCTGCCAGCACCAACGTCTCCCTGCCGGTGCCAGACGGAAGCTCCCTGTGGGACCCGGTTTTCCCCGACGAACAGGAAGGTCTACTGGAGAACCCGAGTTTCCGGCCAGGATCACCGACTCAGCAGCCGAGCGTTCCAGTTTGCCAACCGGACCACGAGACTCGCCCGGGTCAGCCCGAGGAAAGGGACTCGCCGACTTCGCAGAACACCGCGCCAGGGCAAGCCCATGCCCCGACGACCGCCGAGGCACGTCCCGAGGGCCTGGACTTGTCACCAGCCAACAGTTCACCCGAACTGCGACGTTCTGGTCGCCAGCGCAGACAGCCAACTTACCTACAGGACTACGCATGTTCCCAGCTGGGGGAAAGGAGTGTTATGTCCGTGGAACTGGTGGGGGTTCCCAACCAGGTCCGCTGTTTGAGCGGGAGCACCAGCCGCTCCCATTGGTTGGCTCCATTTGACAGTCGGCTATATAAGCCGGCTGTCGGGCAGAGCCAGCCGGTTGTCGCCCGCTAGTCTGCAAGTTAGCAAGCAGACGCGACAACCCTTTATTCCCTACAATAAAGCCTTGTTAGTTGTACGCTCTGGTCTCATGCCTCTTCCTTACCATCGCTCCACAACATTTACTATTTTGTAGTCCCACCTATTCTTGCTTGTAAGAAAATGGCATTTCTTGCAGATATTCCAATGCACCATTGTTGCTACTTTATCATGCCAGTTTTTGACATTAACTATTATTATTTTAGTACAAAGTCTGTGAGAAATTGATCTTTATATCACACACACAGACACAGACACACACACACACATGATTGCACACTCCCTCTTCCCACTGTTGCTGCCTTAGAGTTTTAAACATCAACTGTGAGCCAGCAATTTGCTTACTATTTCATTCCTGAACAGTGACACAGCTTCTCAGACTCTTTGCCAAATTTACTGACAGGATTGCCAACAGGACTGGCTTCCTGGAGTTTCTTAAATAGAACATTTATAGGTAATATCTTTATTCCTTTAACAAATTTCCTGCATAAATATTAAATGTAACATTCTAAAGAACACAGAATGGAGTGCTGGTAATCCTCATTTAGCAACTGTCTTGCACACCAACTGTTCACAATTACAACAATGATGACTAGTCCTTGCATTTACAATCTTCACAAAAGTCATAAAGCAAAAGGAAGCTGAAGATAAACTCAGTCATGATTTTAATTGCAACTGCTTTGCTTAACAACTGAGTTGCTGGTACCAATAATCATGGACTACCAGCCATTCTCTGATATCCATGACAACAAAGCACTACAATCTCAGCTCAAACAATCAATATATCAACATCATCATACATTGAATGACTGCTGGCATGTCACTCTTCCCATAACAAAAGAGAAACAATTATTTCCCTATTTATTAATTTAAAAAAAACAGTTTGATCGTGTGTGTGATTCCCAGGATGTGTCATATGCTGCTGCTTATCTTCAGGCAATTTCTGTTGACAGGCCCCCAAAACCTGTCCAAGGCAGCTCCGTATTGCATGAGGCCTTCATTCTTGAGCAGCTTTGGAAAATGCTCTTCCACAGCTTTTGTAGTCTCCAAAACCTCATGAAAGTATATCCCTTTTTTGCATGATTTTCAGAGACTCTGGAGATTGTGCAAGGGCACAGCTTTCTTATTAATTTCCAGAGGGTCCAGAGGACACAGAAAAGCACTCCCCATTCTTGCATGGTCTCTGAAAACTGCATAAGAATAGGTTGTGCTTTCAATAATAGTTATTGTCAGGGGCTGGTGAAGGCTGGCACATCAGCTTTGATAATGTGTGTCATGGGTTTTCCATGATTACCTTAGAGCATAGAAGGCCTTTGCACCAAACCAGTTGTACCCTTTCCTAGATGGAAGGCCCTTCAGCCAATCATTCATGCAGTGGTCACTACACTCTACATGCATTATGCTTGAAGACCACCCAGAAAGTTCAACTGGTCCAAATGAGGTGGTGTGAATAGTAGGGTCCCATTATTTGAGAGTCTGCTTATCTCCCATAACGTCTCCCTGTCTGATTTGATCTGCTGGTTTGGCATATCCAGGTTCTTTTGAACAATTTCATCTATAGAGGCCTTGAAAGTGGGCATTCACTATAGTAGCTCTGGCTCACTAGAACAAGATTTCCCCCACAAGATCTGGATCACCTGATTTTACTGTTGTTGTTGAAGGGTAGTGAAGACATGAGTCATTATCCAGCCCTTTGGTGAAGGAGAATGAGATCGCATATATCATTCTATCTTGTTCGTCATGCTTGCAATCTTTTATTTTTTATTGATTTTATTGTAATTTTTTTTATTATTGTGAGCCATTGAGATTTGCGCAATTTACAAGTTTAATAAATTATTATTTATTATTTGATGCTGTTTAAGGCACCAACAGATTGCACTTGAACAGTGGAAAATTGCTCTGTGGTAAATTAGTATATGGATAACTATTAAATGGCAAATTATCTCGACTTGTTGGAATGCATATTGACAAGCAAATTTACAGTAAACGTAAATGTCTTGTTTTATCATTAGAAATCAAATAATTTAAAATAATAATAATATATGCTATAATGCTTTATAAATATTACTGAGTTGATAATTACACAATTCTTTGAATACTTTAGAATGCTATAGTGTATGAATATCTAGCATCATATTTGTTACTCCCACTCATCTTCTCCAACAATAATTTTCAGAGAAACAGACATTTCTACTTCGCTGTCTTGCATCCTTGAGATTTGTGGGATCACTACTTCCATCAGTGTTAATGACTTGGCTATCCTATTGGCTAGGGACAAATGGAAATTGCTGACCAGCATAACTGAAAGGCACTAAATAGTAGAAGAGTTGAAAAAAGTATCATAAGTAACATAAATACATACCATTGGATTTCAAAATTCAAAGGAAATTCAAAATTCAAGGGAAAAGTTAGCAAATCACAATTTCAGTCATATCAACAGCCCTTTCCTGGTTTTCTTATGCGAAATCTTTTTTTGTTTTGTTTTTTGTAGCTTCAAGCAGCAAATAGCAGTTCTGCAGAAAGCATTATAGTAGAAAAAAAGAAAAAAGGAGAATTAGATGAAAAGGCTCAGAGTGATCAAGAGGAACCAAAAGATTGCAGTGGTCGAGTTATCCCACGTTTGGTGTTGGAAAGATCAGCTACAGTACGTGAAGTATGTTCTCCATGGACCAGGAACCAAAGATAAAAACTTAATGCTTGCTACCCATTCAATAGTTCTAGAAATCCTCATTAGAATTGTATTGATACAAGCTAATGTGTGGATACTTCTAGAATAGATTAACTATGGACTGTAAGTGCCAACTTCACGGCTTTCTCGACAAGTCCAGGTAGCATGTTTATGACATTGCTGGACTAAAAATGAAGGCTGTGATCTGAATTAGAGACAGCCCGTATTGCTAAACCCAAAAGATAGACAGTCTCTCACAGTTACAGACTTTCACATGTGTTTGAAAGGACTAAAATCTTGGCCCATTCGACCTGCCCCCTCTCCTCCCCTCATATTTCTGCATGGAACGTCTTCCAGTCATCTGTATCCTGATGCTAGAGAAAATTATATAATCCAAATAGGGTTAGCCAATTGTCTAGATGTGTGAGGAGTCCAGCAAACAGGACTTTTTTATTTTCTGTACTTCTATACCAGTGTAACTGGAAATCAGCAAGAAACACTGATTAGCAAAAATAGTTGTGAAAACAGAAGGATGTTGTAGGGGAGTAAAGTTTGTAGTAAAGATAGCTTTTCTGCTAAGTCGGAGTCAGAGCAGTAAATGTTACCCCATCCAAATCTGGTTTCATTTTTTTCAGACAGCTGAATTGTTTTGGTGCTTGAGGCAGAAAGTCTCTTTGCCTTTGTCACTGAAAATATAGCAATAATAAATTTAAAAATCAATAATTAACCAACTGAAGATGTAGTTACTTGATATGGCTTACTTCTTAGCAAACCTGGACAGTGAAATTCTTAAAGAGTTCAAGGAGTACCAACAATATTTTTTTTGCTGGTACAAAGTGACTTCCTTGGTTATAGTTACTTTTGAACTCTAACCCTAATCCTTACCCTAGCCCAGTGGTGGGATTCAAGTAATTTAACTGGTTTGCCCAGCGTCAGGTGGGCCATCGTGGGAGGTGTAACCTATTCTTGTCTTTGACCTGTGACGTAAATGCAGGACGATCCTCGCACAATGACCCTGTGTGAACCGGTTGTTAAATTATCTCCCCACTATCCAAGTGGATCCTGGGTGCTGTGCTGCAGTGGAGAAATGGGAAACGGAGTGGCTGGCATGAGGGAAGAAGGAGGACCAGGGAGAAGAAAGAGGGAAAGCGGCCTCCTTCCCTTGCGCTGCCTGCTCCATTTTCTATTTCTCTAATGCAGCGCTGCACTATGGAGCTTGCCCCACCCACCATCCCTCAGATGCTCTTGCATCCCCCAATAATTTCTTTGCCTACCTGATTTCCAGCTCTGTCACATTTCTCTGTTGCATTTCTCGCCATCGTGTGCAGTGAAACAAGTTCGCAGGACTAAAAAAAAATTCAATCAATCAATTCCAACTTCACAAGATTTATTTTGTGAGAAGTTGACTGAACTTTTTTTTTTTAGTCCCATAAACTTTTGTTTCCCTGCACACAATGGTGAGAAATGCGACAGAAACATGGCAGAGCTGGAAATCAGATAGGCAAAGAAATTCTTGGGGAAAGTGAGGACATCTGGGCATCAGGTGCTGAAACAGGCCTATCTCTCTCCAGAAGCTGCCCAGGCCTGCCGAAGAGAAAGCTGGCATCTACCGGCACTTAAACGTGGTGGCATTCCAGCTCTGGCTGGGAAGAGGAAGCTGGCATGGGTGCTGCAGGCAGGACACCTTCTTGCTCCAGGACCCTCCACGATACTCTTGTGCTCCGCTTGTGCTTTGGCCCAGGGCTGTTGTCTTATGTGTAGGCCCTGTCCCTGCTGCCCGAGACAGTTTTTGCCTGAGTGATGTGATCAAAGGTTTCCATCACTCTTCTCTTGAACTTTTGGGGAGTGTTTTTTTCCCCCACCTGGAAGGAAGTTGAAATGAAAACCAGACATGTTCTGGAAAATACAGATTTTCTGGAATACGTCTAACCAATTTGCAGGACTCAACAAAAAATTAGGTACCGGTTTTACTGAACTGGTGCAAACCACCTGAATCCTATCATTTCCCTAGCCCTAACCTTTCCTTTAACTAGAGTCATATCATAGTAAACAGCTTGAATTCTTTAGTCATTACACCTCTAATTCAACTGTCACTTCAGATTCTAATGCTAATGGCCATAGAGGCTTTTTTATTCAAAAATTTACATTTTTGTCACTGTTTTTTTTTTAATCCTGGATCTCATTTTTTATTACAGTCAAATCCAAGGGAAGAACATGAGAAATCTGATCAAAACCATTTGTATGTGGATGGTGTTGAGGGAAAGGGTTTGGAGAAGCGAGTAGGGAGTGCGGTCAGTGTGGTCTCCAGTACTCTTGAAGGTAAATGCCTTGACTAGGTAGAAACTAGATTACTTTTGAATTAAAAACAGCTATTTTTATAATATTTTCATGTTTAGTGTATTGTAGATTGTTCTGAAATATAGTATAAGAATTAGAGATAAATTTACTAGATTATTTGAAAAAGGCTATAATGTTTAGCTTAGAAATCTTAGAAATGGACAAACTGCTAGTTTTTTTCAGTAAGGAATGAACAAGTAGTTTCAGAAACATTTGACATGCTGATGAAAGAATTGTGAAAGAGAATAGACCTCTGCCATAAGTCTTGTGCCTTTTACAATAACATTCTATAATAGAAGAATGTGTCCCTCTTATATATTATACGGTATCCACACATGATAGTACAATATTAAAATATAAAATTGTTGTAGTTCTATTGGGTTTTTTTGTGCAACGATCCAACAACCTCAGATCAACATAATGAGGAGATTAAAAAATTTCATTCCAGCAAATTTGAATAATTTTCGCCTCAAGAATGGGTGGAGATTACAGTACAGAAATTGTAATCCTATATTGTTTTAAATGTGAGTTTGAGGAACAACCCATCCATCAATCAATCAATCTCATTGATTAGTTGGCTAAAGTTAGCACTCTCAATAATTCGTGATTGATATCTCTAGTGGAAATGATTTTGTTGTAGATATCCTTTTTGATTTTTGTTTTTAGAACTGGAAGAGGCACACCAGAAGTGCCCACCATGGTGGTATAAATCTGCCCACGCTATGTTAATATGGAACTGTTGCCCGCTTTGGGTGAAGCTAAAACACATTGTTAAGCTCATTGTCATGGACCCTTTTGTTGATTTGGGGATCACCATCTGCATCGTCCTCAATACTGTCTTCATGGCCATGGAACACTACCCAATGACCGAAGAGTTCAACAATGTATTGAATGTGGGCAATCTGGTAGGAGAACTGTTCTTCATTCTTTGATTTGATAGTGTGACAACTCTGAGGTGCTTGCAAGAAAGAAATGACCACTAATACCACAATAATGGAACAAACAGGTGGTGCCTCTATTTTCAACAGTAACCAATCAGATATTTCTGGTATATATATCTTGGTACCTAAAATAGTTGGTACATCTGTATCTTCCATGATGCTTGCTTGTTTGTCAGCCTTACTATTTATCATTTTCATATTGTTTGAGAATGAATAGCAAATTGCATAGATATTTTACTAAAAAGTGTTTTGTCTTGTCTTTATTTTGATCATAATCGATTGGTTGACAGTGAGATTTACTTCTGTGACAGGGAATAAGAACTTTTATTATATTAATTACATACATGCAGCACTATTTTCTCAGTTTTTTCCTTCTATGGTCAGAGCCCAATTATATTTTAAAATTGCCAAGTTTGAGAAACACTGGTGTACAACTTTCCCCCATGTTCAGACAAAAACAGGTGTACAGTACTTTATGGAAACCAATTCATGCCAGTGTTCAAAGTGGTTAGGTAAAAGTGTGGTTTTTTTAGTACTGATTTGGTGTTTCACCTGCCTGGACAATTTGCCTGGTCATTGGGCCTTAGGCCTGCTGCTACTGCTACTTAATTCCTGGTCGACTACCTGCCTTGTTTGTGGACAAGAGACCTTACTAGGTTTTGTTGAGGGGAAGTGCCTCTCTAGAAAATGTGGCTACTCAGATTTTGGGTGTAAAATGAGCCACTATCTAAGGACAAGGGTGAGAGGATGGCTTTAGTTTTCCAAGAGACTCTCTGCAGATAACCAGATGCAATTCCCTATATTCTGGAGTTGGATTCTAAGGATGAGATGGGATAGTTGTAACTGTGTCAACCTCATGGCAATGTAAATATCTTCCTACCCTGAGCGGAATGCCTTAGTTAGGCTGTTGGTGGAGTTGTCCACACTTACAAACTTGGGAAACTTCAAGCTATCTTATTTGGGCATGGAAACAAAAGTGTCTCAGGAGTTCATGATCACCATGGCAGCCATAGCCCTCTTATCCTAGACTGACCACTTTGTACTGTATTAGTCTTGGAGTTTTATGTGCCTATCCCCTGCTGTAATGGTACATGAGAATGATCTTGGGAAGCAAGGGCAAGAGATGCTAACTAGAGAAGAACCAAATAAAAGGTGAAGGGCACCCAGAACTGAATAAGAGCAAAAAAAGAAACTTAGAAAGGAACCATCTATCTTATCAGATGGTAAAAAGAGATTGTGGGAGATATGTATTTTCATTTTGCAAGATTATATTAATGTAGCCTACAATAAAACCGAATTACAATCTTGTCAAGTTTCTTATTTGATCTATTTGGGAAGCTGACACCTGTAGCAAGATGCTAGGATGTCTTTAATGGATCCAACCCAGGCACCAAATGGACCCTAATGGGATTCAGAGGGAGATTGGGGTTATACTTATACATGGTATCTTGATGAATAATTTTGGGGGGAGGGGAGGGGAGGAAAAACCTCTGCAGTGTTCTCTAGTAGCTCCCTTCCTGGAAAACTATCAAAATGTTGCTTGTTGTCCACTGAAAATATATGAACTGTCTGCTGTTGTTAGTTGTAGTGTATAGAAGATGACTCAGGACTATCTTTTGAATTTACTATTTTTCACTGGCATGCTTTTAAAGTAAATACATTCCTTCTTTCTTCCCATTTTCATGTCAACTTTATATATTCCCTTTTTCTGCAGGTATTCACAGGAATATTCACAGCTGAGATGGTGCTTAAATTGATTGCTCTAGATCCTTATGAATACTTCCAGCAAGGATGGAACATCTTTGACAGCATTATTGTTACTCTCAGCTTAGTAGAGCTTGGTCTTGCCAATGTTCAAGGTCTGTCTGTACTACGATCCTTCCGTCTGGTAGGTGACCTTATGGAAATTTTCTGCAGCTTCATTATTTGATACCACACCACTGAGAGCAAAAGCCCTTCTTGGCATGGGATCAGATAATCTGAAAGACCACTTCTTCTAGTTACATCAGCCACTTCTACTATATTTGGCAAAGTATGCATGTTATGGGTACCATCAGCCAAGGACCTTCATTTGATGGGTCCTAGGAAAGGCACCCCCTCTTCTCTGACACCCACTTTATGGAATATTCTTCTCTCTACCCCTCTGGGTATGCTGAAAAGCTCTCAGGTGTTGGGCACGTTGTGGGGCCTGGGTTCTCAGGTGACTAGTTACCTGCTCAAATGGTTTCCATTATTGAGGTGGCCAATTTTATCCTTCCTTTCCTATTATTTGTATTTTCACTTGTGATATTTATTAATAAGGTTTTTATAAATTGTATATTTTTGTTGTTTTTATTTATTGTTCCCACTGATTCTTGTTCACTGCCAAATTCATGTTTAGTGAGATGGGTAACTATATAAATTTGATTGATGATAAAGTAAAATAAAACTTTTTTTCCCTCCCCATACTAGATTAGATAGGGTTATGATGTTTGCTGCAAATTGGGAAGTAGTACAGAGAATTACAGATTAAATCGTTAGTGTGAAAACTGGGAAATGCTTGCCTGATGATAGTCCCTTGGCTTGCATTACACTAGCTGCATGATTGCTATTATTGGCACACTGCTGGAAATAGCAAAGCATCTGCCATTACGGTAATAATGGCTTAACAACAGTTCCCCAAGTATGGTCTGGGGACCCCTGCCACAACCTTTCAGGAAGTCCACAAAGTCAAACAAACAAACAAATAAATATTATCAGTTCTAAATTCTAATACAGTAAATATCAGCACATACAACACACACAAACCAAAACTCTCAATCATTTTTAAATATGTATATGGAGGAGTGCTGGGATCAAAATATTTGAGAACTGCTGACTTAATATATTCTAATAGTGCCATACAGATTTAGCCTTCTAAATTTCTGATTATGTTTTGTTCAACAGAAAACAATTTCTAACCCTTATGGAGCTAGCAGAATGTTCATGTGCATAGATGCATACATACACCATGCATGTAAAACAAATGAACAGCACAAATAAACGTGCATCATGTTCTTCTAGCTTCCCTTTCTTCATAATAATTCAGTTTATATCACTGAATTTTGCTGTCATTTTAACAAATATAGCTTCCAGTTTTTTCTCAGTGAGCCTTTTTAAGATGCAGAGATTTGGGGAGGAATGCTTCCCCATGGAAAGCCATCTAGGATGTCTGTAATGATTACATGCAACAAACAAATGGACCTTCTGTGTTATATAATGAAACAAGAAAAAAAATTAGCAAAAAGCTGTTATGAGTGGAACAACTCAAGTCTAAAATGGAAGCAGAAGTTTGTGATTTCAAAATATGTAACTTTAATGAACTAAGATGCCTGTATTACTTTGGCTAAAAGCACAATTCCATAAATTAATCATGATCCATCTTCCTTTTTCAGATGAGAGTTTTCAAGCTTGCCAACTCTTGGCCAACTCTCAATATGCTAATCAAGATCATTGGGAACTCAGTAGGTGCCTTGGGAAACCTCACTCTAGTCCTGGCCATCATAGTTTTCATCTTTGCTCTGGTGGGCATGCAGCTATTTGGGAAGAGCTACAAAGAGTGTGTCTGTAAAATTTCCAGTGACTGTACGCTGCCACGCTGGCACATGCACGACTTCTTTCACGCCTTTCTTATTGTCTTCCGCATCCTCTGTGGAGAATGGATTGAGACCATGTGGGATTGTATGGAAGTGGCTGGACAGCCCATGTGTCTCATTGTCTTTCTAATGGTCATGGTCATCGGGAATTTAGTGGTGAGTACAGTAATATAAGATTGAGGAAATGCAATAGAGCATGGATGATGAACATTTTTTTACTTTTAATTTAAGTTTATGAAAGTCACAGAGGTATGTGACATACTTACTAATGTTACTTATAGGGAGTTCAATCCTCTGTGCATGCGTGTGTGTGTGTGTGTGTGTGTGTGTGTTGTGGTTAAAGACTTTGAATGTTATTTAAAGGCAGAAAGGTGTGCCTTAAAATGTTGAGAATATGTCCTTATTGTCCTATTTTAGGAAAGACATAATAATATGTCTTTTAGGAAAGACATAATAATGCTGCTGAAAATTAGTTACTTCATAAATTAGTTACTTCATTTCTTTGTTATGCTCTCCTTTATGGAAACTTCAAGAGACTGCAAATTGATCGGATCTTTTTTTCAGCCACCAACAGCAACAATTTAAAAATAATAAAAGGAGATATGGGTAGTACTGGCTACAGGCTAAGGAGATACAGTAGAGAAGCAGAGATCAAGATGATAAATGCCCTCCAAAGAACCATCAAAGTTGTACTCCCAACCATAGTGTGGTGCAGCAGCAGAGCCACCAACAGCGTAAACTAAACAGTGCTGGTAGGCCATAGGGGAGAAAGAGAAGACATATAACATCAGTGCAAAATGGCTGCAGGAATTGAGAGCAATATTCCAGAATAGGGACTGGTCATCACTACAGTAGAAGACATCCAACGGCAGGTTAAGAACATGAAGAGCTAGACAGTACCTGGCACAGACATGGTCCACACGTACTGGTTAAAGAAACTAACAACAATGCATGAACTTTTAACAGCACAGATGAACCAGATATTAGTAGCAGCCCCCCCCCCCCAAAAAAAAACAAACAAACAAAAAAAAAAAACTGGCTACCCCAAGGAAGGACAGTATTGATCATGAAAGATTAACACCATCCAACTACCAGCCAATAATTACCTTCTCACAACATGGAAAGTCCTATCAGGCATCAGAGCTGTCAAGCTAAAGGGCCATGTACATGAGCACAGCATCAGGAACTACACCAGAGGTTCAAAAGATAAATTGCTCATAGATAGAGCAGTCACCCTAGACTTAAGGTCTAAACAGACCAATTTGAGCATAGTTTGGATTGACTACAATCTATGGCTCAATGTTACACACACATGGTCTGTGAAGAGCTGATACTATACAAAATCAACAGAACATTAAGAACCTTCCTCAAGAAGTCAATGGGACTGTGGAAAAACACTAGAATTCACTTCAAGACAGTTGACACAAGTGGCCATCAATTGCAACATATACCAAAGTGATATCCTGTTCTGTATAGCCTTGAACCCCCTCAGCCAAATAATCACAAAAAATGGAGATGGATACAAATTGAAAAGCCCTCTTTTTTACATGGATGACAGCAAGTTGTATGAGAAGAATGAATATGACATCAAC